AATAGCCGGGGAACACATGGTGTCCACGAGTGCACACCTCTCCCGACTCACCGATAGGTGTGATCTGACCGGTGCTCGTGTTCACGATTTTCGCCTCCAAGTGCTCTAAGGGTCGGCCGACTGACTCGAACCGGTGTTTCTCGGAGTCGTGAATCGATGTGAATGTTATAACAGGACTGCATTCAGTCGTGCCGTAAGGGATCTGTAGTTTAATTGTAGGTTATATAAGTGAGCCTGGTTACAATTTCTAACTCCTGGATCACTTACGAGAATGTGTTCACAAGTTGGCACTGATTTCAGAAACGCTTCCAACAAATGTCGGGGACAGGGACTACCAGTCATGAAACCTATGATAGCATAACAAACACTAAAAATATACGCTAGCACATTTTGTGAACAGCCAACAAACCCCTTTTCAATGAACTCGTATTAAATTGCAATGGATTTGCATTTAACAGGTCTATAAACATAGTAGGCGTGCCATAAACAACATCGCACCTTGATCATTTTAAATGAAACTTTACTTTCTAGGTAAATTACATTCAAAGTAAATTACTTGTATTTTTCTATAGCCTTTAGGGTTTCGGTAGCGTTGTGTACGGGCGCCGGTAGTACGAGTGTCCCCTTATGAACGGCGGCTACTATTCCTCCCACAACTGATCCGAAACAGTGGTAAAGTGGCGGAGATATGCATAAAATCTTATCCGTCAGCCCTTCCAGTGCTCTCTTGCCCGAGAAGTAGGCGTTTTGTATGATCCCAAAGTGGGTGAGTGTCGCCCCTTTAGGTTTCCCTGTTGTCCCCGAAGTGAACTGAATGTTCACCGACTCGTCGAAATCGAAACACGTGTCCCGACTGTCGGTGCCGTCAAAGCGGTCGATAAACTCGTCAAATCTGGTCATCCCTTTCGGCGCCAACTCTTCGCCATCCGTGCCGTTCATTACGATAATGTTCTCAAGGGTTGGGATTTTGGTGCCTAAACACGGGTTAGATTTGCTTCAAAAGAATGCTTATATTGCTAGAGACTGGCTGTCCGGTTGAGTTGATAAATAGTGTGGATAATTATGACTTCCATCGGACAGTCAGTCTCTGTAATACACATATAATTAGTAGTATTTACACTACTTTTAACCCTGGATCCATTAGCATTCTTCAGGATATTCGGCTCCAGAGTCTCTAATATCTCGCAATTGTTGGTTGACTTAAACTTTTGATTGCATATCAATGTATGACAACCAACTAAATTGAGACAGTAATCCATTTCCAGTGCTTGATAGCCAGGGTTCACATTCACCTGAATATTATCAAGGTATAATTGATAGTTAACATAACCTACACATCCCTGTCCCCTAACCATTATAGAGCCAATCTTTGCGGTGGCATATTGTGTGACAACCCATTCGTAGCAATTTGGTGACCAAATGCCTACTCGAGTGCCTTTCCCGCATCCAATACTCTTCAGGCCTTTCGCCAGTTTGTTAACCTATGGGACAGGTATTCAAAACAAATACTACTATTTATTTTTAGAAATTTTAAAATATTGTTAACATCTTCTCACGTCTTCATTCAATTGACGGTAAGTTTTGCTGATATTCTGATGCATCGAAAGACAGGCCATAGTGTCGGCCGAGTCGACGGCCCGCCTCTCCAGCAACTGTCCGATTGTCAGCGGAATGAGGGGTTCATCCGATTTAGTGTACGTATAGCTGTATTTGTGTCGAGATAACTGTCTCAACAGTGTATAAGTTCTTGAAGTAAACAACCTTGCACCATAAATCATTTTAATCCCCATTTAGTATATTGCTAATTATTATTAGAGAGAATTTATTATGAATTCTATTTATAAACTATTTTTTCATAAATTTTTAATCACTTATAATATCTGTTTTGTTTATAATAACGGTAATGTGCACTCATATGATATTTGATATGTAAAACATGTGTTTAAAAGTGACAAGGTCGCAGTAATGATACATAATGTTTTGGTTAAAGGTTCATTAAACATTTGTACCCATAATGCTAATTTACTTTTTATTCAATTTCTGTTTTAGTATTATGATACTATAATTTTATTATAAAAATCCAAATACAAATTCATAATACTATTTAGAAAGCATAATACAATAAGTTATTTAAAGATTCAAATAAGTTTACAATAAATATTAAAAATGATCTGTATACAGTAGCATAAAGTTTATACATTATCTAAGTTGCACCCAATTTATACTATGAACTCTAAATATTTTATTTTTAAATATTGCACTCATTTAGCGTAAAATTAATTAAACATTTCTTGACTCATACCGATAGCTATAGTATTTTAATATCTAGCAATCACCAAGTCCATATTAATTAATACTAACAATAGACGTGTCCCTATACTTCAAATGATAACTACTAACAGTATTATAATTATAATCATTATTTAAATCAGAGTCCGTATAATCGGTCGAAAACTTTACTTTCGTGGCATTTCTCACACCCTTTAGGGTAAAACTCCCGGTATTTAAGTATCGTTTCGACCCTATTATCAGAATAAACATAATTATGGACACAATTACGGCTACAATGTTAAGGCATATAAAAAATAGTGAATTGTTTTCACTGATAAATCTGTCGATTATCTGTGAATTAATTGCTGACATCAATGAACTAAAGAATAGTAAAGTGGAGACAATATTGTTGTTGATGTGTAGGTACCGCTCCAGTAATGACAATATTGATCCAGGTGCTGATGCCAATCCCATGCCCATTACTATATTAGCCTTTAATTACCAAAATTAAAATAGTATATTAATTTTAGTATAAATATGAAATATTCTTACAATAATTATAATCACAAACGAAAACTTTGCAAACAATACGAGTGTAATATTAGCACAGATTATGATCAGGCAACTCGCTATTAGTAGGATTTGTGGTTTCACTTTCAATGATACAAATATAGCCACAAATCTGAACAATGTCAGTGAACCATACATTGAGATAATCGCATAAACCGTATATTTTTCTACAAATAAGTTAACAAATAATAAATAAATATCAAAATACTTCACAAACTCTGTATTCTCACCGAAATTCTGTGAATAAATCCCCGAAAGTCTTAAGTTTGCGAATTCAATGACAATATAAGATGTGATGAGTACTGATCCGGTGATGATATAAAACAATCGCTGCCACGACTTGATTGATCCGACACTTGATGTGACACTCGTGTTACTGAAGATGCGATTCTTGCGAACCAAACCGTACTTTCTTCGGATGGTTTGGCTTTGCGTTGAATTCATTGAATACCGGATGAAGACGAGGGCCGACCCGCAAACGGCCAGAAATGCCTCACAAATGGCCGGTAGTCTTGGCGACAGGTCTTTCACACAAATCCTATCGATAGGGATGTGAATAATAAAGTGTATAATATTCATGTTTAACATCCCTTACCTGTCAGTCCCCAATAGATCCTTATTTAAGGCATTCATAAAACTTGTATCNCAATAGATCCTTATTTAAGGCATTCATAAAACTTGTATCGTTTGAATTGCTATCAAATGTTTGATTATTATTCAACCAATAGTTGTCTATTGGATACAGACTTTGATTATTAGCCATACATTCAATACTTTTATTCACAAAAATATAATTCATGTTAATTAAAGGTTTCAAAAAATTAGTAATTGATATACAAAAGTAAAGTGCCTGGATATACGGGGCACTATTATTATCTCTCCAATTGCTAACTACCCACACAATTAGCGCCGTATATAAAGCACCGGCAGATAAGCCTTTGATGACATACAACGACATTAATATCCAGTTTATTGTGATATAAGAGTAAAATACGTCAACAAAAGCCATAACTAATAGCAAAACTATTGGACAGACGTATCGGCCCAAGCGATTCAGTAATACCAGGCCTAATATGGGCCCCAGAGTGTATGATACGTTATAAATGACCGAGATCATAGCCATATTAATGATCCTGATGTTCATCACTTCCTGAATATCTCGCTCAGTCATTGGGTTGATTGATGTGACTAAACCCTACACCCATTTAAGTACAGTAATAACTAATTGTGATGACCAAGCTCATATTGATCTGTGTATACTCACGAGAATAAAGGCACAAAAATAGATACTTAAAGCGGTTATGAAGTTATCGGCAAACCTGGAGATCCTTTTCTCTCTGATCTTGAATATACTGGATATCCGTCTGTTTTTAATGGTCGGAAACATTTCAAACACCTCTTTGTCACGAATCCGCTCCAGAATTGCATTGTTATAGTTAGTGTTGTTCAGGAACTTGTTCGCCAACTTGATGGACATTATGACCAGGGTGATTGTTACCAATTCTGCACCTTTAATATCTATGAACTCACATTCAATTCTATGAATATTTGGTTGAGTAACACTTATATGGGGCACACGTTTGTGATAATTATTTAAATATTAATATATGCTTATTTTAATAGTAATTAGTTAAACTGTTTTGTTAATTAATAAATCTTTTATATATTAGTTAATATTTTTCAATGCAATAAAACACATAATGAAAACTATCTAAGAATTAGTTATATTTTGTTTTCCATACATTGATTATCATTTGTTATCGTAGTCTATAAAAACTTTTATAATTAAATCATATGTACTGTAAAATAGTATAAACGTAATAACATAATAAAACTACAAGTGTTTATTTACTATAATAAAATGAAAATGCTTACAGGTATTAAATCGATGATTATATGCATAAATATTACCTCGGTATACTTGGTATTTTAAAACTACAT